GCAAGTAAGAAGCTAATGAGGAGCCTCGTTTTAAAATACACAAAAATAAAGTTGCCGTAGATTGAGTTTAAAACACATTTTTTCACTTAAAAAAGTAATTCATGCCCCATTCTTGTGGATTATACACAAATTTCATCCAACTACAGGCGAACAGACCCGAGTTTTGTTGGAACCACAATTTGGGTTGGTGTAGAAATACTTTTTTGATGAAAACTTCACATGGGACACAACAATTGTATTTTCAAGAGATTACTTTACACCCAAATTCTACATCAACGCCAATGCATGTAATTAATTTTCACTGATATTAAAACATTAGATGCAAACCCAGAGGGAAAAACATTTTAACTGATTTAAACCTTTGTATGAAGGTATTTTATTAGTGAAAATAAATTCCATGTGAAATTCACCAGAATACTGAACAGCTCTTTCCAGACTATCCATTCCAGACATGATGATGACTTTTAAATTTGTAAAGGTCAGGTGCCAAATACATGAATGTACAAGTAACAGTAGCAACGCCTTTAGTTTCATGGCATCCAACAAAGAACTTGAGTCAAGAAATTGAGAAATCATAATCGGATACAACTTTTTTTTCATCAACCCGAACTACAAACAAATACCAACACGTGTTTATTTACAAACAGACATGTCACATATGTTGGCGGCCATTTTGAATGCAAAACAAAGCAGGGCCCGACGGTATACAACAATTTCAGTGTTTCAGTGAGATCGATTATAACCACGTAAAAAATAACAATGATAGGCAAACATAAGCAGGCGTCTTCACAGGAAAATCAAATCAAAATTGTTACAAAAAAACGCTAATGTCAGACTTACCTGCACCATTTGGACCAATAATAGCTGTAAATGGCTTGAATGGCCCGATGATCTGCCTTCCTTTGTACGACTTGAAATTCTCCACTTCAAGCAGCTTCAAGAAACCCATTTCGCCTGACACCTGGCACAAATATTACCTAAGAACGCTGGCCGTTGTTTGGGACAATTCGTGATCGTAATGATTTGAAGATCATTCAGAAAACTAATCCGATCAAAATAGCGCCAAAATGGTACCCTGGCGTTTTTTCGACGAAATTATTTACGCCCTCAACTTCAGCGAGAACATTTTCATATTGGTGAACTTCGGAATCACTCGAGATTCATCGGAAACCAAAGAATCAAGCGAAATCCCCGGATGATGTACGTCACCAAGTTAATAAGAGACATTACTTATGATTGGCTGATATTCAAGAATTCAGCATATAGTGTGTCCTTTGACCAATTATATACCTTGTATTACATGTTACTACGAACGTCTTGTTTACCTGTTTTGTCTCTAGCAACTAGCCCCTAGCAACAGTTGACATAAAGAGTCGGTCGTCAGGACTCACCCTCAGTACACCGTGCAACAGCATTTCTGTGACGAACGACGTGCAAGCGTCTCTTTCGATTAATTTGTATTTTAACGCATAGATATACTCTTGCTTTCCTAACATCTGAGGAAGATGTACAAGCTAGATTTGCCTATTGATCTGAAAGAAGCCGCCGCGATTGAGCGGCGGCGAGACCTGGAAATACAGCGCCAGAATAGGATTTTTAACGCCAAAGTTCGTACGATTGGGGTAAGTTTGTTTTCTTTTTCAATATTCAGCTCAGTTTGGTAATAGAGATTTGAAATGATTTTGCGCCACACGTTGTTTCTGCCAAATGCCATGTCGTAGTCATTTATAGAGATATAATAGATAGTACTACACGCCCAAGGTAAAAAAGACTCGTGCATATATTGGTTCTGAGGCATCGTGATGTTTGTATTTGTCATGTGTCATGTTACTATTGTATATTTTCAGAATGTAAGCAACGACTCGAATCGTATATGCATAAACGTGACGTAAACTGTAAAACACTATTATGATATTTTTTTCTGAAATAGGTTGACTTGAAAGCTTTAGAAGAGCAAACTAAAGATAGACAAATACAAGAAGGTAGAGAAAAGATGAGAGAAGATGCATTTGGTGAGTAAATCATGTAGTATCATCCATATCCCCACACACCACCCTAAGTAAACAATTGTTGTGTATGCCATAGCTGTGGTTCACCAATGTCCAACATTATTGTGCTAACAGTTTTGTCAGTGGATTACCACATAGTGATATGAAAAAAACATTAAAAACGAAATGTAAAAAATAAAGCAAATAATGGTAGGGTAACATTGGTAGTCAAAATTAGGTGCTAAAAAACCACAGCTATGTATGAAACTGTATGTAATTATAACTGTCAACAGTTCCTCAGGAAATCCAAAGTCTGTTCTGAATTAATTAAGAAAGATCGTGTACAGATGATCATTTTGCATATGTACTTTTATTATTGGGCTGTTAGTTGAAAATTTGTATTGTCCAGTACATGTTTCTCTGCTAATATACCTGTTGTGCTCATCACAATCAATTTATAGACCAGCACTATCTTGAACCACTCTGTAAGACTGTTACACCACACTTTGTTACCCCCCCCCAAAAAAAAAAAGAGAAACAATTTATTTATTGTGTGTGAGGTACAATTCACTTTCTTACATGAATGATGATTATTTTGCTTACAGCTGCTGATATGGTGAGAAATGACAAAATTGCTGAACTGTTGACAAGACGTCAGGAACAAGATATTCGTAATCTCAACATGGCACTGAACGACTTCCGCAAAATGCAACAGCAACCAGAAAGTCGACGTGAGTGGGACTTGAATGATCCTGATGCCAAGTTAAAGGACAAACCAGCAAGAGTAAGCGATGACGATCCTCGATGTGGCACTTCAGGCTTGCAGAAATTTGACGGAGAAGATCTTAACAACAAAGCCAGACAAAAACTAATGCAGGAACAGCTGAGAGAATGGAGTAAAAAACAGGCTCAGGAGAAAAAAGCTGCGGAAGCTAGACAAAAAGAAGCTGATCGATTGTATGAACTGAAAGCACGTGAGCTTGATCAGCGTGCCTTGGAATTAGCTAAAGCAGAAGAAGAATGTAGACGTAATATTAATTTAGCTACAAAAGACTATAATAAAGCATTGGTAAGTTTTAATGAATACTTACCATAAATTTAGCAATGTTGTATTAACGCTTTGAGCACCAAGGTCAACTTTAGGCACCATCCACAAAATGCTTCCATTTCTGGTCTTCTTCATTCCTTATGAAATGTTGTAAAAATTTCAAATAAAAAAACTGGAAACAATGTCACATTTTGTCTATTTGGTCCAAAATTAAGATTGAATTCATTGAAAATTACAGAAAATGTGTACAAATTTGAGTAGGAAAAAATTTGTTGCTCAAAGGGTTAATTAAAGTTGGTTTTCAAGCCAAGCCTGCACATAATATTAATAAGTTTCATACTGTATTTTACATTTAATTCATTAAATTTCTTTCTATGTTCTCTTGTTCAGGCTGATGAAAGGAGTGAGAAGGAAAGACTGGCGAAAGAGCAAGAACTAGATGATAACTTCACTGAAATCTCCAACCACATATATGGCGATGTTCTCACTGAAAATCCAGACGTTGCTCAGAGCGCCTTTGGCCCACACCGTGTGATCACTGACAGATGGAAGGGCATGTCACCTGAAGATCTTGAAGAAATCCGTCGCATCCAAGAACTGCAGAGGCAAGAGAGGAAAAGACTGGAAGATGACAAGAAATCCCGGGATGCAGAGTGGGAAAAGCAGAGGCTAGCAGATGCCAGGGCTGGTGAATTAATGGAAAGACAACAGGACAGAATGAGGAAAGAACTTGACAAACAACAAGTTGAACAAAATGCTAAGTTAGCAGCAGAGCAACAAGCACACCAAGAGTTCTTAGAAAAAGAAGTTTACACAAATCCACCAACTGCAGCATACTTTCAACAGTGGAATAAAACAAGTAGATAGGTGTTTTCTGAATTAAAAAAACTGTAAATATTATTAAGCTATGTTTCATTTTAATTTGAACTGTTATCTTAACTGTTTGTTATGTCAAATATTGAAGATATCCTGTCACTTACTGCACGTCCAGTGTGATCCATTATGTTATGTTTCTCTTCTTAAATAATTACAAGACATTCATTTTGTTACCAATGGTTACATTTGTCTGATAATGCTTTTATTAAAATTAGTTAGATGTATTATTTGGTTTCAGCCCCAACCTCCCTCCCTGGAATATTTAATAGATTTTTTATGTGAGAGAATTATTTTGGCAAATAAACTTTTTCACAGAAATTAAGCAATTGTATGTTGGTTCATTGTGTCGAAGTGTTTCATTAATTGGTGTAGGTTGTGCATATATGCAGGAAAGTATCGTATTGTCATTTTGATGTATTGCATCTAAGATTTCGAGATTGATTTTTTTGTTTAAAACATAGTGTAATACTTGCAACTTAGCCCTTGATACCAGGTACAGTTGGGAGGAATTAATTTGAAGGTGTTAAATATTTGACATTGTGACCAAATGATTTCAGCCAATGTGGAGTGTAAGTTTTGGTCAAAAAATAAACGTTAACATATCATGCATGTGTACATGGGAAAAATGGGTTATAATATTACCTTGATAATGGAAGGTAGGACAGAGGGCAGGTTTTAATCTGATTTATCATATATGTTTTGTTTCAACCCATCATCACTTACCGGTACACTCAACAAAATGGGTTGGACTCATGATTATTGGGATTGAAAAACAAAACTGCATGAGAAAAAAGGTGGCAGTATATATATGCGCGGAGCAGTTCACATAATGTCATAGATCATCGTCAAGGCATTCCACTGGAAACATAATACTTGTTGTTTTCCAGTGCCAGTAGATGATGAACTGCCCTGTTCTTGTAGTAAAATTGTTTCAGTTTGAAAACAAATAAAAACATGACAAACTGACTTCTAAATAGGTTGTGTGTGTGTGTGTGAAATACGATGCTAGGACCCCGGTAGGATTACGGAAACTTGTTATTGGGATAGAATACCTTTATTATATCTGTGTTTTGGTCATGTTTCGTGATTTTGGTGTGATTTTATCTCAGGAAATCTCTGACTGCTTCCAAGCTGGTCTGAATTCTAATTATTCAATGACATGTAATCGCATTATGAGAATGTTTAGCAAGTAAATAAATCAAAGTGATCATGGAACATGGGAGAACACTAGCATCCTCTCTCCTGTCCTTCTACCTACCATGCTTTGATCAAAATGCATGAAAGTAAGTATTTGTTTACAAACTTAATCTGCAGATTTTTACTTATCAATTTTATTTTTCATCACAGTATATATATAACATTAATTGTATAATAGTTTTCAAAATATACTGTAAAAGTAAAATACAATAAAAATTAGGCATGGGAAAAATGCTTGTTCAAATTACAAGATAAATTTTCAAATATATGGCTTACTTCACTCATCTAGGTATGAAATAGTGTATGAATTACTGGTACTAAACTACAGTTGTACATACATTGTATGCACAAAAACTTGAACTGTATGTGTTAATTAATAATGTTCATATGAAAAAAAAATGGCAATAGGTAATATACATAGACAAAAGACAATACTGTGAAAAGATGCACGTGTTTGTCTGATGTATGTGTGAACTTTGAACTTAATTGGTCTAGTGGACATGTTGAATGTATGGATCAGGCAGTGCATTCTTTGAACAAAATGGCTACCAGCCGGCCATATTGAACGAAATTTGAAAAATAAAAGTTCATCAAGGCCCCATAACGTTCAAGAACAGAATCCATTTATGCAAGACTGAGACCAGGTACTAGAAATGTAAAAATTGTGATTTTAATGTGTTTTTTTTGGTATTAGAATGGCGGCCATTTGGCCATCTTGAATCGGATTATGAAACAGTTGCATGTGCACACATCCAATATAATGTATGATGTATGTATGAAGTTTGAGCATGATCAGCCAAAGCATGTGTGAGATATGGCTGGATAGCACACACGTACAAGTACAAGTCAGAAACTTTAAAATTGTTGATTTACAGGAGAAACCTGGTTTTTCTCCTGTAAACCAACAGCCACTTGTTGAATTGCCAACACTAAACACACACCCAGGACAATGGGTCTCATGACCATGAGTGGTTATTAGTAGTATAAATATCTTCATACATGCACCTAGTTCTCAGTTAAACCAATTTTTCAATTTTAATATCTTGAAAAGTAAAAATAAAATGCTATTCACACCAAAATTTTAGTTCATCTATAATGTCATATTTGCAAAGGACATATCTTACTTTGAATAAAATCAAAACATCTCTAGATATTGCAACCATAGTATTCTATAGTTCACTGATGCATTCAAATCATAGGATAGCACATTTTTTGTATTGTTTGATCTCAGAACAAAGTTGATACCCATGTTCCAATTTTGTTTTCCCCATTATCAAATTCATTAAGGACAACTGTCTGTCACATTTGATGTATGTATGTAAAAGCAGTATTCGAGTTGCAATTCTAAATTCTATTCAATTCTTATTGGTATAAGTTGATATATATTGGTAACACCTGTTTGCTTATCAGGGAAAATTCATAATTTTTATAAACTGTTGATCATCATTTCACATCTATCATTCATATGAAAATAAAACTTGTAACAGCAACCTCATGGAAAACAGGATAATTTTATTATTCTCCCAATCTAATGTTTATTACAATTTCTTTTGGTAATCATTATTGATAACATTTCATCAAACAACCAGATCTTTTAGTGTTAGGAACACAAAACCAAAACAAAAATTACAAAAACAATTGTGCAGCAAGTATCAAAAGTGATTTGAAAAGTACAAAAAAATAACGAACAATACGATTAATAAGCGATTCCACTAACATATTTAGCTTATTAGTAAATCTGGGTAATGTACAAGTATCTTGAATAAATTTATTTTATCATGAAATACTACCATCTACATTAATACAATGAAATAAAATCCAAATGTCGCGTCTTAGGCATTCAGATGTTACTTTATAATACAATGACGGCAACAATCACCATAAATAGAAACAGAAAATGGTAATAGGTGATTGTAATTATTGGTAATTAGTCACTATAATTACCATCTATCATTTCCTATACTGTAAAATACTTTATTTTCGCTTGGAATTAATTTTCGCTATTTTCGCTGAAGGAATGATTCAGTGAAAATAAAATCCAGCGAATATACCTTTTTTCCTATACTTTACATTCAACTTCTCAAAAATCAGTGAAAATATATTCCATACAAAACACCAATAAAGTCTTTTCAGCGAAAATTAATTCCAGCTAAAATATAGTATTTCACAGTATATTACCCGGTATATAATTTGTCCGAGCAGCTTTAATTTTTTTTTTTTATAAATTTTGAATTGTTTACTCATTCGTTTCCATTGGAGACTCCTTAAAATCTATTACTCGACACCAATAGTGAACCAACTCACACAGCAATGTATCAATTAAACTTGTTCACTGAATAATAAATTCAGGATAAAGACATCACCAAACTTCACCGTGTCAGTTACAAAATATCATACATCTGATACCAAAAATGATAGAATTTGACACTCTGTTCCAAAACATATCAACACTTTTCGAACGTTTCTCCTTATACCAGATAAAACCATGTCACCAATAAATATTAAAGTATTCCAAGTTAGTGACATCACATTCAAGCACTTTCTTTCATTTAAACGAGACAAAGAAACGCTAAAGTGTGCGTCAAAAAACAAACCAGTCAGTCAAACGAATCAGTCAACACAAAAGTTAAAACGACAAAACGTTTTTGGTTGTTATTTCAGGCTGTACAATCTCTCATTAAATTATTACTATATACAAGCAGGAAAAAGAAGTATAACAAAAAGGTCATCATGAGATTACTACAAAGTATGCACTCAGGCAGTACTGGGTTGCATCAACCGCCGCGACTGGTGTACTGCCTTTGTGCATACTTTGCAGTATTCTCATGATGACCTTATATTATTGCAAGGAATACTGAACAGATTTAAATAAATTATACCTAGTACATTTAACCTTTGAAACACCAAAGACAACTCTTTCCACCTTCAAAAAATAAAACCTACATTTCTTTTCAATACCGGTATATGAAACTATGTTCATCTGGTGTCAAAGTTCTCCAAAAAAATTTTTAGAAAAGTACATAAAAATAGGCTACATGTTGTACCAACATTTTGGTGGGGAAAATGATGGTGCCCATAGGGTTAACCAATAATTTTTTTTGTAAGGTATCAACAGATGTGGACAATCATAAACAATACATCTTACCTTACAAGCACAGTAAGGGACGACGTCAAAAGATCGATGTCGGATAAAAAACTTAATTCTTTTAGTTTTTTCCCAAAACCCCCCATTGAAACTTAATTGATAAATATTGATCATGGCGTCAGACTACATTCACCATTAAATACAAATTGATAATCGGACAGTAGTATGGCATAGCAGTTGGTTGTAATAATGAAGCAGAATATACGCATGCGCAACCTACTTTCTGGGTTCTGCGCATGCTCTAGGTCCATGCCCTGAAATTGACCTGATTTGACGCACATATTTACACTCGGACCAAACCATTTTCTCGTCTTGGATGTGTTTTTTTTATTCATTTTCTGTTCTTTTTGTCTATGATTGGGTAGTAAGAAACAAACTACAAATACTCCAAAGTTTTTTTGACTTCATTAAAAAATAAAATCGTTTTTGTAGGATGGAAACTTTTTGAGGTCAAACCCCCACCCCCACCCCCAAACTAAAGCAAATAAGTTTTTTATCCGACATCGATCTTTTGACTTCGTCCCTAAACGAGTGACAACGATTGAGCAAACGAGTTCACCCAGAAGTTCATTAACCAGTACTGTTTGCTTTATTCTGAAGTGTGTTCTTCAAATTTTATGTGGAACTTAATTAATTTTTTGAAAGCTACTTATTTAGCATATAATATTTTGACCAATCACAACAATGTTAATATACCACTTGATATACTGATGTAATATAATCAAGAATAATAAACATATTCATGGAATTATGATCACATAGCATGGTTACTTGTGGCTATTAGTACGGGTATAATTCAATGTATATAAATGAGATCTAAAAATAATTATCTTAATTATCAAAATGAGTAGAAATTAAACCTGCACTTTCTATTTTTTGAATAACAGATGTTTTTCATTTCCTAGTAAGCACCAAATATAGATCTCTGGCAAGTAAGTATACAGGGAATCAATTTCACCTTTTTTTTCTTCCTTGTTTGAAAAATCAATGTATATTTACATAATATTGCGCTGCAAAGAGAGAAAACAGAAATCAGCCACTCTGTAGGGCTTCATTCATCAAATAAAAAAAAAATATGGAGCAAAAACTGACTAAACTGCAGCAAGCAAGTAGAGGGTTTCCAAATGTTGTGTCACTTGTAGACGATGCACAGTTCTGATAGGTATCACAGTACCAATGTCTATTTCAGATGTTTGAATATTGATAACGTATCGAATCTTCAGACACTGCCACGATACAGTAGTCATGTGCAATATTCACCAACGAAACATTTCATTTTGTTTAAGATAATTTTTTTTTTCAATATCTTGCTGTGGGGTTTGATGGTGAAGCTGCTGCTCCTGTACCAGATGAGGATTCTGTGAAGAGAAACAAAAGATCATTATTGGTTTCCATGACAACCAGACAATTATTTGTGTAATTTTTACAAGTAACCACCTATCCTCAGGGCGGACACTGGGTATTTTCACCGACCTGGCAACCATCATGGTGAAAACCAAGGCTGAAAACTCGCAGAAAACTGTACTTTGGGCTAGTTGTTGAGACTCTCCTGAACAGTGCAACAATATTACCCCCACATGTACAACATATATAAATTTGGTTGTTCAGAATTACTTGAGTTGAGTTTGTGCTGTCTCGACTTTAGCTGTTTTCACCGGCTCTTCGACCGGCGTTCCACAACAGCTCGTGTAGAGCCCATAGAAATACATGGTACATTGGTGCACGTCTTAGATTGTAGAACGTTCTATGATTATGCTCCGTCCCAAGGATATACTGTATCTGAAAACTGACCTCAGTTTTTATTAAGCCAAAAGAAAAAGATTTTGCTTCTTGACCGAGATAGAATTGAAAAATATTGCAATGCGGATTTTTTTTATTTTTTTATTATTTAATAAAACAACAAGATACATACTCAATGTTCACCATTTATTAAAGAATGTTTTTGAAGATATGCAATAAAGGTTGAATTGGAGCAACAAAACTAGGTTAAAATAGAAATATTTTCTCATTCTACAATATGTGCAACACTATACCAGTATCCAAAATTGCAATAAAATGTTTGAAACCCCTGTTTTAAACTGACACGCACAATAAGGAAAAGCAAAACTTTTTTTCATTCGGCTTTATTCCCTTAGTTTCCTTAGTCACACCCATATGAATAATTTTTTATTTCAGAGAGAAATCCATCCACAGCTTCATGTCGGTATTAAAAAGGTGCAAAGAATGTAGTCAAGTATCGGGTCATTTTGGTCACACTTACTCATTTCATTCTGGAAGGATTCTGCTTCAGGACATCCAATCAACTCATGTGTTTTTAAATTAAGTATGGAGTCTGCAATAATCCTGGCTGTTCTCTTCTGATATCCACCAGATGTCACCATTAAAATTGGAATTTTGCGACTCCTAGCTGCCTCAAAGACAATCTGATCTCTCTCAATAATGCCCTATATATTATAAACAGAGAACAAATTTAATAATTTAAAAAACAAACATATTCTTAAAAGAAAACTGTCTTAGCTTTCGATGACCAAATTTTGAAAAATACTAAATTTTGTAGCAGTACGAATTTCACCGTTGACAGATATCATAATGTGAGATAGCAAAAATAATTCAATAATTTGTTTTGTAAATTCCAGAAAACATGATAAGTACAGAAATTTAACAAAATGACTACAGAATTGATATTCTATTTGTAACTGATGCTCCCTGGCAATCATCATTGTGATTACTGTATCTGCTCATCTTCAGTAGCACACATAAACCAAATTTATTGAATACTGGATCAATAAAATATTTGACTAGACACACCTCTGTCATAGATTTGTCTACAAATACGGTATTAAGGTTAAAACAGTCAAATCTGTGTCGGTGTCACCTCTATATGAAGATCAACACTTTTAAGCAGTCGTAAGGCATGTGTTTGAACAATCTGTGTATACCTGTCGTACGTGACAGCAAATTTGCCGTAGTTTAGAGACCAAAATAATAATTAACACGACATCTTAAAACAATTTTTAATTTCAAGTCAAACTTTATTTGAACTTAGTCAACTAATAAATAACTACCGGTATGTCAAATGTATGAGTTGGCGATCCATTACAGCTGTTCTGAGAATTATTCGGACAGACAGTTAGCAAAATGATTTGCAACTTTGCAAAACACTTTGGTCTTTGCCCAATCTAGACTTGTCGACGCCACTTGAGTGACGGGCGCATGATTTGGGATTACTATTTCAAAGAGGTTGTCGGCTTGGTGAATTGCAAGTATTATCTAGTGTGCATTTACAGCAACCATTCTTTAATTTTGAAAATCACAAATCTGTTGAAAAATGTCGACCCCTCACTCATTTTTGTCAGTTGTACCTGTTACAAAAATGGACTAGACATAATAACGGTCAATATACCCCGTCATTTTCAAACTGCAGTTGAAAAAGTTATTCTCTCAAGGAAGGCACTTTTGATTTGACAAAGTCCATCGAACCGTTATAATCAAGTTTTCCGTCTGTGTATCCTTGACGTACTCTCCCACCTCGGTATAAAATCTGAATTTGATACATAATGCACCAGTAATGTAAAAACAACTTTTAGTTTGGCCCAAAACTTCAACTTGAGCCTTCCCGCCAACGGAGAGTTCATTTATACCTGGGGTTACTCAAGACTCTGGAGTTGTTTTGTAAATTGCGATATGTCATGTGGACTCAGATGGTTATAACAATTTAAAATAACACTTGGAATGCATATACAACATATAACCTGTTAATATATGGTAACCAACGCGTGTCGTTTTGAAAACAGCATTTTACCCACATCTTGCAAGATAATGGAATGATTTCAAATTGATCGTGCCAATACAACGGCACCATCAAGTCTAGATTGGAAAGTGTTTTGCAAAGTTCCAAGATATATTGCTAACTGACTGTCCGAATTATTCTCAGAACGGCTGTAAAAACATAATCCAACCTTTATATAATACCATTTTAATGAAGTTCCTTGGATGGTCACTATACACAGGTTTGACTGTACATGTTAAATATTTATGTTTAATGTTTACCTGTGGTGATATCGATAATGCTCCAAGTGGATCACCATCTAAGATATCTGTTCCAGCATTGTACACGATAATGTCTGGCACAAACTCACCAAGAGACAGCTCTAGATTCCTGAAAAATAAGCATTGACAATGCTAAGTCCCCATTCTGTATTTAATTTTAAATTCCATCACTAGCAGCAATCCAGAGGTGTGGGTATACATTAGTTAAATAGTCCTATGATGTGATCAATTGTTGCTGGACATTGTAATAAGCATATTTGGTTGAATCACTAAAAAAAATGTAATGTGCAACCAAAATCTAGTTTGAACAAAATCATGCAAGCCATCTCAAAAAAACAGTTGTTAAAATAATGTACATCTGTATGTGTCAACTTAATATAAAGCTCTGTTCATCGACTACAGACACATTTAGGATTTTAGACAAAATTACCATGAATTTGACAAATAAAATCATAGAATCTATGGTATACAATCTTTCAACTGAAACAGGCGATATATAATTGAGAAAACCATCAGTCGGTGAAAAACAATGTGCATATGTGTTAAGTTTGAAAGTGATTGGTCAAAGCATATCTGATAAATGGTACTGAACTGATAGAACCCAAATAAATTATAGTCCCTGATTTCAGATTTGTCCGAATCAGGTACTAAAAAGAAGGATAATGACAGTATGTGCCAGCCCAGTATATCATTTAATACATTGTCATTAATGAATACATCAACAGAAAGTAAAATAAAGGTCCTTATATACTTAATCAAATTGATAAAAATATTTCACATGCATTCAGTAAATAATTTTTTCATAAATCATCTAAACTGATCATCAAAATACATGTAATCTACTAGTCCACATAACCATGCAGTGATTATACCAGATGACAAACATTTTAGAGATGGCTAAATTAACTTGAGCCAAGCGCCCAATCACACAAATACACCTGGTCCATCATTATAATCTCAAAGGTCAGCCTGAACACTCACCCACACAAATTTACAGCGAATAAAAGACATAGAGTAAAACATTCCATAGATTATATATGTGACCTTG